GGGGGGGGGTGGGGGGGGGGGGGGGAGCACCCCACACTCCTGTTTATCTATCTCAGCCCCATCTCCCACGGGGGAGCTGATCGATAGAGGGGAGATGTTTAAATTACAAAATTCCCGGTCCAACGTACTTCCATCTGGAGCTAAAGTGCTCCTGAGCCCCGCGGTGCGGGACGGTGCGGGGTCGGGCTGCGGGGTCGGGCTGCGGGGTCGGGCTGTGGGGTCGGGCTGTGGACCCGACCACCCCCAATCCCCAAGGGATTTGCTCCCCAACGTGTAGCTCCGGGGAAAACATCCCGGAGAGAGGTGAATTCCTGGAGGAGACGCGGGTCCGACGAGGGGTCGGAAACGAACATTGAACACGGCTCTGCGTTCAGTGGAAAGGAAGGTTTTATTCACAGAAAATAAGAGCAGAACCTGCTTCGAAGAAAATATATCTATATATCTTTAGGGTGAATTACTTCATAGAGATGACTGTCAAAGTCAGTTTTTTGGGTTTTTTTTGTTTGTTTTTTTTTTTTTCTAGGCATCTACATATTTCACAGGTCTCAGACAAAAGATACACGCGTGGTAGGTTTTGTTTGATCTCTGTCTTTTTTTGGTTTTTTCTTTCTCTAGTAGCTCTTGAACCAGCAAGGCTCTTGTTGCGGGACACTCGACTGTACACGCACTTTTAATAAAGTTAAATAAAAAGTCGGGATCTCTCGGGGTTGGAGTCTTTGCAAAGGGCACGTTTGGGGCTCCTCCGCCCCAGGGAGAAGGGCTCTCTCCCCGTCGCTCTGCCCGGGGCCCGGGGGGGTTGGAGGTTTGTGGGGGGGGGAACGGGCAGCGGTGGGGCCGTGGCGATGTCCCCTTGCCCGTCCCCGTCGCCCGGTCGCCCCCCGCCCCGGGGGGGAAGGCTCTGGTGGCCCGGCCGCCGGGGCTCAGGATGCCGTCGGGCCGCACAAGCGGTTTGTGTTCACCACTTCTTTCAGGTCACTCTCGGGTTTGCCGGCTACCATAAAAGGCCAAGTCTGGAGCCAGGAAAAGACACACGGGTGGGGAAGGGGGTTACATGGGGAAAAAATGCACATCGCAAAGCTTATCTCTCTCGGG